TATTTCCCCGAAAGAGTTTTTGGCTGTGAGCACCTCTGAGCCGCATGGCACCAGCAGGGCTCAGCCCTGCGCAGCTCCCACCAGCACTGCCCGAGGCCGTCACAACTTCCCAGCAGGAGTGCTTTAGGTAAAGTGAACATGTCACTTTTCCTATCAAATCACCACATGCATTACACCTGATAAAAACCTCTGCTTTCCATCTCAAAATAACAGGTGTTGCCGTGATAAAAGTCAAGACAGGAGTGCTAAAGCCTTTCACATGCTTTCCTCCAATTTGCACAGCAGCAGAGCTCTGACAGAGGGCTTCTGACTGCTCAATTTGATGGCCAGGCAAACTTATAAAAGCTGAAGCGCCGAGTTTCCCAGGGGAAGACATAATGAAATAAATGCACTCATGAATATGTATGGCAGGAGGCGGCCATCTGTTCTCCACCAGCATCTTTTCTTAAAACAAGCTTCAAATATTTCTGCAGAGAAGTCGTATCTTTATTTCCATATACAAAATTAGACCTTGAGTTTTCACCACCTCTGGTCATTACGTGCTATTGTTATGGAAATGTGCTTCCCCGCCCCAGGGTAACGGAGCGGTAAGGTAGTCCTGCAGGGTTCAGGTGGAGATTTCAGCGTGTCTGCACAGCTTTACAGCGTTGTCAGCCAGAGCACGAGTCACACAGCGTAAACAAACCCGCTGGGTCCTCCTGAGGAGGAGCAGGAGCCCCCTTCATGCTGCCCTCACTCGTGTCCTACAGACACCACAGGGCCGTGCTGGGAGGGAACGCCCCGGCCTTCCAGGCCTCACTGAGGAGGAGGAGGATGATGATGAAGAGTTCCCCCAGTGCTGGGGCCTTGCAGGCCTCTGTGCGGGGTGAGGAGGCCCTGCCACAGCACAGGCCCAGCACAGGGCCGGGTTTTGCCACTTGAAATGTCCTCCGCTGAACTCCACAGGAGCCCTGACCCGACGCTGTGGGCCTGTTTGAGCCTTGCAGCCTGTAACCTGAAGTATCCCCCTTCCACTTCGGCGTGCTGAACGTGCGTGTGTATGTGACAAGCATCCATTAAAAAGTTATTTCAAAACAGACCCAAATGAAAAGATGTGGTGATAAAAGCATTAAACCCAAATATTACCTAAATGGTTAGATTTTTCCTGAACAAAACTCAGAGAGGAGAAAACCAACCAAACAAGAAAACACTTGGCTAAATCTCTTAATTCCACTGAAGTGAATTAAGAGCTTCTGGTCAAATGAATAAAGGCCAGAACAGGACTTCCTGACCAGCCCTTTTCAGGGAATGGCACAAGAGCATCTTTGGCACACGAACACACACGCGGCTGTTTCAGGCACACCCGAAGCCTCCCCTTGAAGCCCCCACACTGCTCACTCTGCGGGGACACCAGAGTCACCACCAGGGCCACGTCCCAGGGCTGGTCGCTGACCCGAGACAAGCCTCCAGAACCACCACGAGCTCTGTCAGCCCCTCGGCTGAAGCCCTAATTAGCCAAGCCGCCAGGTTTGGTCTATTTATTGCCCTGTCCGTGCTGGAGCTCTGCGGCACAGCCTGCAGCAGCACAGCTAGTTAGAGGCACCGTCTCCCTAATTACACACAACATTAGCCCCCACGCTTTTGGTGCTGGGCGGCTGCATTCCCCCTGATAGCAGGGTTTGCTCACTCGCAGCTCGAAGCAGGGAAGAACCCACTGGACAGAGCCATGCCAAGCAGCCGGTGTCTGAGTCCTGTGCATCACAACCTGCATCATGCTACAAGCAGCCTGCACGAGGGAAACCAGTATTGCCATGGGCAGCTTGCAGTACGCACACTATTCCATGTCCCCATCAGCTCCCTGCACTGGGAAACCACGCAGGATGGTTTGCTAGAGCGGCTCTGCAAGGCTTTCCATCCCACATGCATTTGTGATTGGAGGTAGAAGAAATGGTCAGGGTGGTTTCTGGGTTTGATTTCCTAGATAAATTTCTGCAGCTGATCCTAAACATGGCGCCCTGGCCAAGTTACGTATCACAGCTTTTCCCCTTGCAACCGGAATCAGGGCATTCTGCTCAACCTGCTCATCCACTGCCATTCAAAGGTGCAGATCACCGAATTTACATAATAACTATCTACAACTAATTATCCACATTTGTTCATGGAAACAGCCACTTTCTGCAGGGCCTAAAATTAACATAAACTGTGCATAAGAATCAAGAAAACACCAATTTATCTTATTAATGGTGGCAAGGAGTTTACGCAGTAATTAGCGGTATATTACTTTGAAAACGCCATTAAAGTGCTCCGAGGACCAGTTCGCTTGGAGACCTTGAAGCATTTTTCAGGACGCTGCAGACCAGCACCGAAGCAGAAGGAAATCAGGAGCTGCCAGAGCAAACGGTGCTGAGCAGGCGGCGCAGGGAGCAGCGGTCCTGGCCACGCGGGCTCGGCACAGCAGCCACACGCTGTGCAGACACTGCAAAGCCACGGGAACAACGCTGGTGCAGAAGTTGTTTAAAAGGGACAGTTTGAGATAAGTGAGATAAAATAACTGCTTTACAAAAACAAAAAGCCACACACCATAATTTAAGTGTGTGCAAGAGAGCTTGGCAGGTATCCTGTTCGTGGAAAATTGGCAATATGATTCGTTTTCTGCCGTTTTTATGTATTTCTGGGCATATTTCTATCAAGGTGTACAATGGAGGTCCTGCCTGCCAATGATCTTAAAAGCCTTGACGTTAATCACAACACTGTGATTTTACTACCAGCTGCTTAGCAAGCATCTGCTTGCAAGCCTTCCCCTACTAGACACTGTTGTGGAGCACTTCCCATAATATTCATTGATGCTTAATTTCTTCCAGCAGCAGGTGGTACAATTTCTGTATCTGCAAACTATCAGCACATTCAAACTGAGACTTCTCTGGCTATTATACAACTGCAAAGTGTTATCATTCCTAGACATATTTTTTAATGCCAGTCACTAAAACCTGAAGTAGGAACTAGTTTTTAAGAAAAAGATGTCCCCCTGAACATTTAAGTGCCATTTTCACTCTGGAAAGAGATTACAATAAAACATACCTGGCCCCTAAAATAGAACCATTTGCTCTAGTTTTTCCCTATACTCCAGAGACACCTTCCTTCATTTTCCTTAATGTCATTGACAAAGGCACCCAGGCTATGCGGGTGCTCAGCTCTTAGAAGAGGACAAATTCCTCGTGCAGCTTTGAAACTTCCAGCCTATGTGTAAGAATTTAAGTGAAACATCATTGTCCTCCTGCTCCTGGTGTCCCAGGGTTTGAACACCAGATTTCTGACACCAGAGCGAGTTGTGGGATGCACTGGGGATTGGTTTTACTCAAGTGGGGTGCAGCTTTGCTTTATAAGTAACAGAGCAGGGCTCCATTGCTCCGCACCAGCAGACGGAAGTCGGAGATGTAAATGTGGGGAGCAAACAGCTCTGTCGCAAGCTCATTTGGTCTCTGTGCCACGTCCTCATACCCCAAGCCTGTCCTGCTTCAAGAACAACTGCAAGAATACAAAGACCAAATGACGAGCAGATTGCATTAAACAGGGCCTTTTCATCTAAAAGACCCCACGCAGTTCCTTCGTACTTGTACAGAGGACAGACACAACCTAAGAACCCTAACCCACAATTACTCACTTGCTGGTTTGCCATGTAAGTAGACAGTACTATTTAATTGCAATAGTCCATTTTCAAACAACCACTCAAGTCCTGCAACTCATTTTCACAGGAAATAGGCCCACTGGCTCGTCCCCTTCCCGTATTGATTTTGAACACGATGATTTCTCTAGTAAAGACATTAGAGCATGGGATCTGGTTCACATAAACTGTTTGACTATAAATCTTTATTTCGTGGCAGAGTGATGAATTTAACAATTCCTCTTTGTCAACCATTTCATTAATTTCTTTGTAAAGAAATTTCTGTTTTTCAGGCATGCTTTGAGGAACTGATTCTGCCTTAGTAATCCTGAAAAAAAAGGTGTAGTTTAATGGTCAGGTGGCAAATCTAGGTGCTGTGCATGTTTTTGTGCTCCATTCTCCCAGGATCAATTTGAACCTTACAGAAAGATGGGGGGAGGGAGTAATAATAATAAGTACATAATAAATACACCTTCTACAGCACATCAGGTGAGGTTCTCAGCACACAGCCACCCCACGCAGCTACCAATTACATTGCAAAACCTGTATCATCTGCTCTCCATCACACGTTTCCACGTCAATAACGGAGCAGGTCATAAATAAGTAATAGTGCACGATGGCCAGAAGCGTCCCTGCTTTTCTGATCTGCTAGAATTATTGTCCCAACCACGTGAGGCCATAACATGCCAGCTTCGCTCTTGCTTACATACCCACTACCTTCCTCCCCCTCCTGAGCACAAGTGACCCCTAGCAGCACCCCCGCAGCACCCCTGCCCTGGCACACACACTGCAAGGAGCACAATTTAGAGCCACGCTTCTGCCAGGTGCTCCCTGCAGCACACACACAGGTCATACCCACACCCCACAGCATCGCCCTCCTTCGTGCTGCACCCGCATCTGCACTGCTGACCTGCCCGAATGAGGCAAATAGAGCAACAGCTACCGGGTTTTAATGAAAAAAAAATGAGAAAAATAGGTTTTTAAAATGCAAACCAGGCATCTCTCCCATTCTTCCTGGGCAGTGTTTTAATAGGGAAGGGTGGTCATGCAGAAAGCCTGGTTCGGGGCTGGCTGAACACTGCAGATTAGAGAAACGCAACCATTTTTTACAGATGACCAAATGCTTCTTGCAAATAATGTTTTTTAGCCACAAGGTTGATTTTGATCTTGAAGACTGAAGAAACATCAAAGGGAAGTACTTGTGGGTATACGCTAGTGCTCTTCGAACAAGCACGGGCTCATGAATACCAGTTTATAAATATTCTACTTAAATATTGTAACATCTCAGCACAGACCACAGCCAGGTTTTCACCTTACCTCTGCTTTCATCACCTCACCACACAGCGCCACAGAGACTCACCACCCCAATGGGTGCACCCAACAAAAAGCCATCAGCGGTCACCATCAGGAAGGCTGGAGGACAGCCTCAGCCCAAGCCCCCGCTTCAGGGCTGGATGGGTATCACTGGGTGGTTGGTTGGTGCCTTTTACATCCATCAGCTGGTACCCAACCCTTCATCACACACCTGACCTCTTCCCACTTCATTTTCAGCCCCCAGAAGGGAGAGGTCTTGTTGCCAGCTGCCCCAAAGAGGAGACTCAGGACCTTCTGCCAAATACCTGCCCAACGCCGCTGACGCTGCAGGGTCACAAATGCTGAGGACCTGGGAAGCTGATGGGTGGCAAACACTCCTTGGGCTCCACCACCCCCAGGTCAAAGCTGCAGTTCATTGAAGTGTTTCAGGTCGTTTCTCACCTGGAAGTCAGTGCCTCGTTTCCCAGTCCCCCTGCAGTTTTGCTGCTGAGTTAAGGCTGGGCTGCACAATCCCATTTATAGGCTGGCTGTGATTGTGTGACGGTGAAGGGCTTTTAGAGGCAGCTCTGTCTGTGAGGAACAACAAAACACTTCCAGCTGAAATTATCAGTAGCCCAGGATGAAACCCAAAGGTGGTTACTGGAAATAGCTATTATCACTTAAAGTCATTTCACAGCAAAGTGTGCAGCAAAAAAGAGAACCTGAAAGAGTGCTTCCTGAATGCAGAAGCTTTACATAAGCTTCCCATTAAGAATTTCCCATGGTGTGCAAAATTAATTTTGATTTATCTTCTCCATAGCTGTTTTAAGAACCAACTGAAGAACGGAGGGGGGTGCTTAATTTAATTTAAAAAGCCAACTGTTTTGGGACAGCACTCACTAGCTTTGAAAAGCTGTTTATGTTCAGTGTTCCCCGAGTTCTCCTTTAAAGACCTGCGTTACTTCTAATCTCACCCTCCCCAAACGTCTGCAGATCTGCTACATCACTCCAACCTGAATTTGCAGTCCTCTCACTAGCAGCCTGCAGAATTGCCATATCAAATACTTTCCCTGCCCCTACTAGATTTTAAAAGCAAGTTTGTAAAAATGAGGGTCCATAAAAAATCTAGTAAGTCTCTAAGAAAACGTGTCTGTTTTCCACACCGTGCTGGAAAAAACTTGGAACGTTTAAACAAGCAGGGGTCCGGTGCCAGCAGAAATCAGTCTCGGTTAAACAAAAAGGAAAATATTAGTTAAAAAACCTGTATCTGTGCATACATAATATAGTTTTTGCAGTCAGGAGCTTTAAAGAGCTGCAGAAGCCTGACTCATGGTTGTAATTAAATTGTTCTGTAACGGTGGTAATTACCACATCAGGTAAAGCACAATGGATTGCAGCGCAAACCTACCTTGTAATTGTTATTTTAAAATTTTCATTTCACTTTTTGGAGGTTTTGCAGATTTTAAGCAACTTCTTAGTGCCTGCTGGAGCCTGAGCTGTGAGAGCAGCCCCGCTCCTCGGAGCTCAGTGACCATCTCTCCCTGCAGATACCAGCTCTGCTTGAAACTTCTGGAAAGCAACCCAGCACATCCCAGCCTGCTACTGCTAGGACAAAGCCCTTTCCAGACGGGTTTGAAGCACCTGAGCTGAGATGTGCTCTTTTTTTATATTTTTTGTGGGTGGGGAGATGCGAGGAGCTGCAGGCAAGCCGAAGTACCACAAGGCATTGGGTGATTCCTGCAGCTCCGAGGTCTCCATTTCGGCGATGCTGCAGAGCCTCCTGCCTGTGCTGCCTCCTGCCCCTGCCTGCTTCCAGCACGAGAGGCTGACTAAAAGCTTTCCAGTGAGCAGGGCACTCATCCACCACTCATGGCTGCAACCAGCATCGTTTCACTGCCCTTCTTAGCAGGCTGGGAACACGAAATTATCCCTCTTCTCTTGCATCAAAACCTAATGGCACGTCTGGAAAACGCCTAACCCACGCCAGTTCCCTCCATCTTCCCCGCTTTCAGGCAGTGCTTTGCAAACAAAATTCGCCCTTTCGCTTTGGAATGGGACGATAAAGATGATGGATGCTTTCTGGAGTTTATTTTAGATGTGTCCATAAACATTCCCCTAATAGCTTATCACAGCTGATGAGAAGTTTTGAAAAGCCAACTGCTGTTGACTGAAAATATCTGACAATTTTTGTTTCAAATGTGCCGTGCAGAAGGAATTATTTATATTTGAATAGCGCTTTCCTGTGATCATGAAATATACATATTTGTCATAGTTAGCGCTGGGACCAGCGAGGCGGGCACCGTTAATGAGCTTTTATTCAGCAGTCCTCTTTTAGGCTCTCTCAATTCCAATCCCTTCCTCCCGGGAGGCAGCGTGCAGCTCGAGATGTTTATCTGGCATGGTTTATTTTCCCCTGCGTGCTGAGGTAGTTAAATCACTGTGCCAAACTCAAGGCAAGAGCCGAGGTGACACCCGTTTGCTTTTCCTAGCCCGAGGGGCACGCTGTGAGTGGGATGGTTCTGGGGGGAGCTCAGCCCTGCTGTCCTCTCCACACTCACCTGAAAGCCACCTCGGGATGTTTGGGGCATGCGTATGGCTGCATTTCCAAAATGCTCATTTGTATCCATCTCTGGAGAAAGCAGTCCTAGAGAGAAAATGGAAACGCCCAGAGTTTGGTGTGGCTGAAGCCCTGCAGAAGGAGAAGCGGATGCACCTGTTAGGAGCACCGTTTCTCACCGTGATTCCTGGCTTTCCGGGAGGGAAGCGAAAGTGAAAAAACATCAGCAGGATGTTGAAAAAGGGGTTTGAGCAACTTCTCCCACAGTCTGCTTGTTGGCAGAAGGAAAAGAAAAGCTCAAGGGTGGCTGAAGGCAGGACCTGGCGGAGGGGACGGGCTCAGCTCCCGTGTGCCCCCAGTGCCCCCAGCAGCCGCTGGGCAGCAGGGACAGGCTGGGCGCTCCCGAAATGCCCATTGCTTTTCCCCAGGGGACAATATTGCATCTAGCACCCAACTCTCTGAATTGTGTGATGCCCTTAACTCTTCGTTCCCTTGATTGCAATGGTTGGGCTTAGCAAGTGCTGCAAAAGGCAAGTTGCTGCTGTCACTTAGCAACCTAAAATGTTTTTGGGAACCAAGATCTTTATTTCTGGCATCGTTTAGCAGCAGTAGCTGACGAGGACGGAGGAGTGCAGGGGCGGTGCGAGCCCGAGCCCCTTTTGCTGCTGCCCCCCATGCCCACACCGAGCTGCCCCGTGCCCTGCAGCTCCCTGCCCCCCTGCCAAGCTCCTGAGCTTTGTGGCACGGGGCAGGAAGGACAGAGAGAAAATTTAGTAGAAAGACAGCCAGCTGGTGTTCTCGTGTGGCTGTGTTTTGGCTAATTTCCTCTAGTCCCGTTAAGGCAAGGACAGTGGCAGAAGCAGGAAGGGTTCGCTTTGTCCCTACACACACACAACACATTCAGTCAGCCCTTTCACGGAGCACCCTCGAATCTCACCAGACCCTACACTTGTGCTGATGATAGAGCAGAAAATTTGGAAGCCCTTGCACATGGACTGAGCTGTGGGTGGCTCTGGGGGGGGCTCAGCACCTCGGGCTTCCCCGGCCCCACTGCAGCCAGGTGGGCGAGCCCAGAGCCGCTGCTGACTGCACTGGCTCTTCCTCTAGCCTGAACTAGGACACATTTAATTACTGCCAGCTTTAATTACTGTCCCAGCCTCCCAAAGGGCCGTCAGCCTATCTCACTTCTCACGTCTCAGCCCTGTGAGCTCCTCGCTTCTCTGGTTCGCACGGTGGCAGCTGCGGGAGCTGCCCGGCGCTCCCAGCCCAGCGCAGGACGAGCAGAGGATCCCCATAAAGTGACCAAAGTTGAGCCTCGTAAAACTGGGAATTTGTGTGCCCTGTCTGCACACCGCTGTGGATGAATGCTGCTTTAATGGGCAATACAAAAACAAGCATCCATCATGAATTTGATGTTGGTCACTTGCTAGAAACAAACGCTGCCTGCTACTTGCCTTTTTCTGCTCGTATCCCCTGTCACCATATACACCAGGTCAACTCATCGAACTATGATAAATCAGGATACCTTGGTGATAAAATTAGCACCGGCAAGAAAGTATGAAATACAAAGTGAAAAATGAAAAGGGGAACCAAGGAATCCACAGCGTTCATAATAGCTGAGAAGTGACATTTACCTTCTCCTGAATTCTCCTCCTCCAGGAAAGATTCAGGATGACTTCTACCTCTTAAGTCCCATTAACCAAACCGAGATGTTTGAAGAAAAATAGGAGAAGATAAAATAAATCGTACAAAATAACGTGCTAGAGTAAAACATGTGATCCTAACTCAGGATGCTGCCTCTCATCAAAGCCTGTTATTATTCCAGCCAGGAACTCTGTTGTTATTACAGCCACGTTCATCGCACTGCTTTGGAAAAACATTTTTTTGCTTCTGCATCTTTAAAAACTTCTGTTAAGGACAATTGAAGAGATATTCCATAATAAAATATATTATGGAGCACATTTTATAATGAACCAGTGTCAGGTATAACCAAAACACCGAGGGCCCTGCCACAAAGGAACAAGGAACATGACGATGAAACCAAACCAGTGTTCCATAAAGCACACCTGGAGCGCAATGCCAGTGAGCAAAGGTTATTGTTAGAAACCTGACCATGTCCTTTCCCAAATGCCATTTTATTTTTGTAGCCATATCTCTTTATTAAAGTGTTTTTTACACATCGGTTAACTCCTGTGATTGCCTGAACCATTTTGTGCCCCTTTGGAAGGAAGAACCTACCCAAATACCCTGACACATGCAGGCGAGGACGGCATTCCTAGGTATCAGCACTCCTCACAAAAGTGACCTACTTTAAAATGCACAGCAGAAAGCAGTTTCCCTTACAACAACAACCGTCTGGCCATGTGCAAGTTGTCTTTAGTGAAGTTTTCATTAAATAAGATTCCAGCCCCACTGAAATCAATAGGAGTCTTTCTATTGACTTTGGTGGGCGTGGGGTAAGGCTCGTGCAGCTGCTGCTGCTCTGAAACAGAGAGCACGTCGTTTCATCGCAGCAATTTATATTGTTTAAGTTAATTTGCCCCACTATAACTATGCAGATCTGCAGAGAACTGCGCTCCTTTCTGTCCCCTTTAAATCCTGCTACACATTTTCCTTGGTTAAAATGTGCAAACGAGTGTCGTTTCTCAGGCTCAGCCAAATCCCAGGCTGGTCCACCCCACAGGTTTCCCTGATGTCTCGTGATGCCACTGCTTCGAAAACTCCCTAAACATAATGTCTGAAAGAAATCACAGGTCAAAAATTAGACAGCTTACAATTTATTCTTACCTCCTATTCACTTGTGCCCTTCAAAAGAACTCACCCCTGGGGAGCTGACAAATAAAGATAAATTACCCTTCTGCAGCGTTCTTTCTAACTAAGCCATTGTAGTGATTAAATGAACCTTAGAAGCCAAATTCAGCTTTGTTAGCAAAAATTGGGCGGAATTTTTTTGCCTTTTTACAAATACAAAGCTCATAACTTCCTGGCATGAAGACATGATCTC